CTTCATAGCATAACCAGACAGAATTCCAAGAGAGGAAACAGAATTTCTTACTGCCCATCCCTCACAGAAAGCTTCTTAGTATTTTATTTTATTTTATCATTATTGTTTTTTTATAATATTTTTTTATTAAATTATTATTTTTGTACATATACCAATGCCCCCCTCCCATACATACCCTCCCTCCCCAGAGTTTTGTGTCCATTGGTTGTACTTATATGCATGTATACAAGTCCTTCGGTTGATCTCTTATCTCCCCCAGATCTCCCCAACCTCCCCGCTGTAATTTGACAGTCTGCTTGTTGTTTACTGACTCTATATCTATGACTGCATGTAAGTCTTTTTAGGAAACTATTTTCTAGTTCTTACAACACACTGATATAATAGTTTACTTTTATTCTCAACTCAGTAAATTTGAAAATATGGTAAATTTTAAAATGTGATATGTTGAGGTTATCATTATTCCTGTAGATGAATGAGCTCTTGATTCTGTTTTTGAATAATTTCTACTAATTTATTCTACCAATAAAAAATGCTTTCCATATAAGTACAGTCCTTTCACTAGCCCTTTATTAATGTAAGTTAGCATGTTTTTCAATGAAGCTGGGAAGGATGTGGCAGGTCTAAAGTCCTGGGTAGGATAGCCCACATGTAAGACACCCCATGTGGACTTTGCATGTAGCAGGGACAGGGCACCTGGAAGGTAAACTGTGGCCAGATTCTAAAGTGCTTCATGTACCATGGGACTAGGACTTCATCTCTGAGGCAGGAGAGACAGATTCAAAGGTTGAAACAAGAGAGAGGCGGTCAATTAAATTTTAGAAAGATGACTGAAGACAAGTCTGCAGGTAGATTCGCAGAAGGAAAGAGCAGAGGGGGCATGGAAATGACAATGTGCAAAGGACCTTGAATATGAGATGAGAACTGCCATTGCCTAAAACATGGCAGTGAATGTGGAATGAAACATATAAGTAATGTCTCTGAATAAAACTGATAGAAACTGTTTGCCTCTGTCAGTACATTAAACCAGTGTTTTTCAACCTTTTTTGGGCAAAGGCACACTTGTTTCATGAAAAAAATCACGAGGCACACCACCATTAGAAAATGTTAAAAAATTTAACTCTGTGCCTATATTGACTATATATAAAGTAATTCTCTTGAATAGGAATCAAATAAACACAAAGAAAGTATTTTATAATTACTTTATTATGAAATATTAAGTAAACAAAATAGTGAAAAATTATAAAATTCTTGTCTTGTCTGCACCTACGGCACACCAGGCAACATCTCGCGGCACACTAGTGTACCGCGGAACAGCGCTTGAAAAACACTGCATTAAACAACTGAAATCCAGCTCCAACCCACAAATGAAGAGCAGGAGGGAGGAAAAGGAAGTAAAAGTATAGTCAGCCTCTACTGTAGGGTTATCCACTTTTATGTCCTGAAATTGTTGCATATATTTTATGGCATCTTGCTTTATTTTCGTAATTCTCTCTTCTCCGTAATAATTCAGCAAACTGGATAGATCTCTGATTGATTCCCCAATTAGGTTTCAAAACTTGGAAAACCACAATATGTGAGCCATTTATTCTAACTGGTTTCCATTAATCTGAGGATGAGTGAGAATATTTATAATGTTCCATAGATTTCTTCTTTCAGAGAATCTGATTCAGAGAAATTTCTCATGTAACTTAATTGTTTTTCTTTTATTGTTTTAATATATTTTTATTGATTTCAGAGAAAAAGGTGAGGGAGAAAGAGATATAAACATCAATGATGAGAGAGAATAATTTATTGGCTGCCTCCTGCACGCCCCCTACTGGGAATCAAGCCTGCAACCCAGGCATGTGCCCTTGACTGGACTTGAACCTGGGACCCTTCAGTCTGCAGGCTGACGCTCTATCCACTGAGCCAAACCGGCTAGGGCAAATTGTTTATAACCAATTAGATGTTATTCAAGGTTATCTTGCTGTTAAAAAAAAAAAATGGTTAATTGAAGGGGGAAAGAACTGATATTGTTTGGTTCAGTTGTTTTGACAATGTGCTGTGGTTTGTGTGTAAAATGTATATAAAATTATAAACAAAAAAATTACTAAATTTTTACTGAAATAGGACAACTCTACAAATTTAGAAACTTAAAGAGTTTTATACTAGAGGCCTGGTGCATGACATTCGTTGTGGGGGTTGCTCAGCGCAGCCTGCACCCTTTCACAGTCTGGCTGCCTTCGGGGGATGTCTGACTGCAGCTTAGGTCCGCTCCCTGCCTAAGCCACAGTCAGACATCCTTAGCACTGCCGTAGAGACAAGCCACTGCGCATGTCAGCCATCAGCCTTGCTTGTGGCTGAGCATCGCTTCCCTGTGGGAGTTAGCTGACCACCAGGGGGCAGCTGCTCTGTTGTCTGCCCCCCTGGTGGGTAGTGCATGTCTTAGCAGTCTATTTGCATATTAATTACCCTTTTATTATATAGGATAGTACATTCAACCCTACCTGCATTTTTCTTGCCAGTTTATCGCCTAGAAATTTCTTCAGAACCAAGAAGCAAAACTTAGAAAAGAGAATGGAAAGAGAAAAACTTTTTAGAGAAAGATTTGAGGTATGTTCTCCTCTGAAGGTAAAAAACAAAAACATTACAGGCTAGAAACTTCTGTTTATAAAGATTCTGAAAGGATGTTGCACCCCTGCCTAAGACATGATTTCTGACTAAAAAGCTGGTATTTTTATGATTTCCTGATGCATTGTTGGATTATCATGCCTTTGTATATGCTAGTTCCTCTGCCTGGAAAAACTCCTAAGGTGCACAGTCCAGATGTCACCCACTCTTACCTAATTCCTCCAGGTGAAGTCACTCCCTCAGCACATACATTACACACACACACCTGTTACACAGATCAATGGTGTTACAACCTTTGCGCACACGCCCATTGGGAACTAAAACTCTGAGTCCCTTTGGAAGGAGAGATTTTTATCACAGATTTGCTCCCCAGCTCCCAACATAAACTGGTCACATACTGTTCAGTGAATGAGTGAGGCACTGGACAAATACATAAACAGTGAAGAAGTGGGTGAAGTCTCTGCAGCTCTTGGCCTCTTACCCTGCCACTGAGTCCGTGGTATTATCCCATAATTCCAAACAAGTCGAGCGATCCTACCTTCTGGCTTTATGTATGGCCACAGTAAGAATTTATTAACTTAGGTACTTACTGAACACTTCACATGTGCCAGTCGCTGGACTGCAAGAGACAGAGTGTGCATTCTGCTCATAAAATTTGTACAAGTTATGTCTTTGCCTAAAACTTTCAAAAGTTCCCCATTACCAGGTGGGTAAAGTTTTAAGGCTCTGTAAAGTGGCATATTCAACTCTTCAAGTCATGATGACACATGAATTTGTTGTACACAGTTTCATATTATTAAACTGTGGCATGAAACTGTCTCCTGAAAATTGTCATAGTTGAAAAACCAGTAAAACTTCTTGTTGACAAAACCCGAGACATCCCATCTAATGATCTTCCTACACCCCCATCCCCAACCCCCCATGACACACACACACTCACACACACACACACACACACACACACACACACACACACAGTATTTGGACTCAGATGGGACAGAAATTCCATTTTCCATATGTGTATAATTTCATCCCTCCTCATTGCCTATGGTAGATTTCCTTGATATCCCATTAGAAAAAAAAAAATAAGCCATTTCAATAACTTTTATTCAGCTCAATTAATAAACTATTTGTGCCAGACACTGAAGGTACAAGATGAATAAAACTACCTTACACTCTCATTTTATAGAACAAATGTTTATTATAATGCTGTAACAGGAGTATATATTCAAAATGCAATTAGAACAGTAAATGATGAAAGTCTTTGTGAAGGGAGGTTAAGAGGGGGGGTGGGGGGGAAGGTATTCCAGGCAGAGAAAACAGCATGAGCAATGGCATGAAAATATGAAAAGTATGTAGTATATTCAGAATTATCATATAGCTTGATGTGGCTTCAATAAAAGGGATAGAAATTGGGGCATGGGGATGACAACGTGCAAAGGACCTTGAATATCAAGCTAAAACATGTTAATCTCATCCTGAAAGCACTGAAGAGTGGTGACCTAATCTGATTTTCATTTGAGGAAATCACTGTGTACTCACAGTGAACAATGGCCTAGAAAGGGTAAGATATCACTTAAGAAGCCATTACTCTGTAAGACAAATCTCGTGGATCAGATTCCACTTGGTGTAGAGTGATCTTACAATTCATCATCCAAATTAAGAATTTGAGAGTGGAAGGAGGCATACCTCATCTTAAATAATAAGTATCTGTAAATAAACACTGTCCTGAGCAAAGGGAGAGGTTTGGCCACCCAAATTTGGTAAAGTGATACCTGTCAATATAAACTATATATTCTGAAACATTTTTTTTTCAGTCAAGGGATCTCAATACTTAGAAGGTGATGCACCTATAAATGTATAGGCCAGCTAGTTCCCCCTAATGTCAAATACTGAATTGCTCAATCAATATCAATCAGATTTGAGAGGTATTTATTTTCCCACAAATGCCTGTCTTTGACCACAGAAGGAGAGTGGGAATTGCCCCCACACCTATTCTTACTATTTAAGCTATATATAGAAATATATAAATCCACCAAGAGAGGAAGAGTGGAGGGTACGTAAGAACATTATAAATTCTAAGAGGGTTTTCCCCAACTCCCACGCTTTTTTGTAAACCTCTCCTTTCCTGAGTTTGGAACGATTAACATTACTATCCACAGTATTTAATGTATAATTATGTTACAGCATTCTCATTCACCAGAATGCATTCTAGCACAATTAGATAATGGATGTTAAGGAAAACAATGAAAATTCGATCACAACAAGTAAATATAAGATTGTGACATATTTCCTTAAATAACTTTTCTTTTAGTGATTGTCTTGCTATTATTTTCTATTCCCTTAACAAATTAATATCTAGAATCTTGAGTTTATTTTGCCGTTACTACAACATTATTTCCTCCATTGATTTTATTATAATGAAAGGAAAACGATGCAAGCACAGTCTGATTAGTGATTTCTCATTCCAGTATGATAAAGAGATTACTGTCATCAACACAGCAGTGGCATGTTCCAAGAATTCAAGAAATGGGATCTTTGATTTGCCAATATCCCCTGGAGAAGAGCTGGACGTCATTGATGTCACTGAAGAAAATCTAGTGATATGCCGAAATTCTAAAGGCAAATGTAAGTTATTGGCTTATTGCCCCCAAAATGTCAATGTTTTTAAAAAAAAAATCTCAAAGCATATCTCTATAACTTACAAGTGGCTTTTGTTTCTATAGATGGATATGTGCTAATTGAACATCTAAATTTCAAGTAAGTTGTGTGATTTTATACTTCAAATAATGAATTCTAAGCACTTAACACATTGTTATATACATTTGTTTCAAGGAAACACTACTGAATTTATTTACAATTCAGGAAAACATCTGAAAAATGGATATGTGACACCCTATTCTATAAGGATTACTTTGGAAGAGACTTTATTATTGTCTACTAAAGGCCCAGTGCATGAAATTTGTGCATGGAGGGGGGGTGTCCCTCAGCCCAGCCTGCACCCACTCCAATCTGGGACACCTTGAGGGATGTCCAACTGTCTAGTGGGATCAGGCCTAAACGGGAAATTGGACATCCTTCTCACAATCCAGGACTGCTGGCTCCCAACTGCTTGTCTGATTGCCCCTAATTGCTTCTGCCTGCCAGCCTGATCACCCCCAACCACTATGCTACCAGACTGATTGATGCCTAACTGCTTCCCTGCCATCCTGTTTGCCCCAAATTTCCCTCCTCTGCCGGCCTGGTCACCCTTAACTGCCCTCCCCTGCAGGGTTGATTGCCTCCAACAGCCCTCCCTTGCAGGCCTGGTCCCTCTCAACTGCCCTCCCTTGAAGGCCTGATCCCTCCCAACTGCCCTCCCCTGCTGGCCATTTTGTGGTGGCTATCTTGTGTCCACATGATGGCAGGATCTTTGAATACCTGGGGGCAGCCATCTTGTGTGTTGGAGTGATGATCAATCTGCATATTACTCTTTTATTAGATAGGATAGAGGCCTGGTGCATGGGTGGGGGCCAGCTGGTTTGCCCTGAAGAGTGTCCTGGATCAGAGTGGGGGTTCCCTTGGGGTGTGGGCAGCCTGAGCGAGGGGCCTGTGGTGGTTTGCAGGCCAGCCACATCCCCTGGCACCCCAATCAGAGGCCCTGGTATCTGAAATTTATTTATCTTCTACAATTGAAACTTTGCAACCTGGAGTGGAGCCAAGTATCCTGCTCACTCCATGGCCGGCAGCCATTTCTGTTGGGTTTTATGTATCTTTTATAATTGAAACTTTGTAGCCTGGATTGGAGGCTTAGGCCGGCCAGGGAGTACAGAAAGCTTTGCTTCTTCCATTGCCAGGGGCAACCCTAGCCTCCTGCTCTCTCCAGCTCCATGGCTGCCACCATTTCTGTTTGGATTTGTTAACCTTTTATAATTGAAACTTTGTAGCCTTGAGTGGAAGCTTAGGCTGGCAAGGGCAGGCAGAAAGGTTGGCTTCCTCGTTGCTTGGGAAACCCAAGCCTCTCTCCTACTCTCTGTGGCTGTAGCCATCTTGGTTGGGTCTTTGCATACTTGCTTTGATTGGCTGGTGGGCGTGGCTGGTGGGTGTAGTGGAGTGATAGTTAATTTGCATATTTATTAGGTAGGATTATTGTTTCCTGAGTATATTATCCAGCTCTACAGAGCATATTTAGAAACATTTTAAAGGTGCATACAAATATTAAATGGGGTAAGAAATGCCCCAGAAATCTCCTGCTCAATTACTCCACTGTCTACATTTCAAAATATTTTCCTATTTTTTCTTAGGCCTCAAGGTTGTTCACCTTAGAAAGATCCACATCCAGTGTACTGTGCACAAGTGAGAACCAGTTCTGGGATACTGGTCCTGCTCCCATCAGTTAGCATGTCAATAGTGGAAACATGAGATGGTAGAAACATTCATTAGGAAGTCAGAAGAGAAAACAAACAAATACTCCACATTTAGTTGATCTTATTCCCAAAAGGTTATCTTTCCATGTCTATTTCACTGCTGGTTCAGAGAATGGGAAAGTGTGTGTTAGCATTTGAGCACTTATTCAATTAGCCACATCTGAAGTTAGCAATCATACCTATGGCACTCTTAGTCAGTTGTACAGATTTTAGTGCGCCTCTAATATGAGTATACAAGTGTTTATAACTTCTAAAAGATGCTGTACATTTAAACTGTGTGTAATTTAATTCCAAAATACATAGTGCAACCGTTTTATACTCAAAGTACAAATAGTGCAACCGTTTTATACTCAAAGTACAATTACCAATACAGCTCAAGGTATAAGTGTTCTGCTTTGTCACAATTTTCTCATTAGTAAAACAGCTAATAACACTCACCTTGTCTACTTCACAGGGGTTGTTGTCAGGCTACACTGTAATAATATAAATAAAAGTGTCCTAAAATCTTTAATACAGAATACTGTATAAGTGCTGTTATTTCAGTAGCTAGCCTTTTCTGAGGGTGAAAGATGTTGAAAACAAAAAATGTGTTTTGAAATTCAAATCTTAAGACTTGAAAAAAATGGCTAGGAGAGAAACCAAGATGGCGGCATAGGTAAACACTTAAACTGCTGCCTCACACAACAATTTCAAAACTACAACTATAAGACAAAACGAACATCATCCAGAACCACAAGATAGCTGGCTAAGTGAAAATTCTACAACTAGAAGGAAAAAGGAAAGCACATGAAGAATCAGAGGAGCTGCAAAAGGCTGAGGTATGGAGACACGCATGCAGGCAGCTGAGTGCCTGGCTGGCTTTATCTAGCGGGAAGGAGGCAAAAGCTCCTGACTGCACTGAACCCCAGTTTTGGGTGATACCTTGGGTACCCAGGCTTATATGGGGGGGGGGGGGGGGAGGGGATCTGGATTGTCAAGAAGAAACTCAGGGGAGCCACGAAAGGCGGAGGTCTGGATGTGCACGTATGCGAGTGTGCAAAGGGAGGACTGACTGCTGAGAGACAAGCACACATGCGGCTGAGTGCCTCTGACTTTCTCTAGCGGGAAGGAGACAAAAGCTCCTGGATGCACTTAACCCCAGTTTCCGACTGCACTGAAACCCCCACCCCTTCCCCAAGTGCACAAATTTTCATGCACCTGGCCTCTAGTATAATTGTAAAAGATTATACACACACTCACACACACACAATAGAATACTACTCAGACAAAAAAAACATAAAATATTGCTATTTGAAACAACATGGGTGGATCTTGAGTGCACTATGCTAAACTATTCAAACAGAAAAGGACAAAAACCATATGATTTCACTTATAAAATATAAAATAAAGTTAGAAATATAAAACAAAAGATGAATGAACCAACAAAACAAAAAAACAAACTCATAAATACAGATAACAAGTTGGTGGTTACCAAAGAGGAAAGTAAGGTGCAGTGAGGGCAAAAAAGAGTATCAAATATATGGTGACAAAAAGACTAACTAGACTTCTGGTGGTGAGCATACGATAATGTACACATCGAATTGTACACCTGAAAGTTATGTTAACCAATGTTACCTCAATAATTTAAAAAATGCATTAAGCAACTAAGTTTGTAGTAATCTGTTTTGGCAGCAACAGAAAATTAATACAATGGCTAAGATTAGGAACTACCACATATAACAAAGACAAAGATGGTATGAAGTCTCCAAGGTGTCACAATCTTTTTCTACAATAGCTTTCTCTGTAACCATTACCTAACATGCAAAATATTCTTTTAATAACGGAAACAAAAAGAGCTTTCAAATTAACCAGAGTTTAATTTGATTTTGTGAAAAAAAGCTTATAAAGCAATCAGATATGCTGCTTTTCTCTTATTAGTTTGTACAGTGCACATATTAACTAGGGTGAGCCTGTAACTATGAAATGCTGTGTAATTCAAGAAGACATCTTTACCACATGGCTACTGGAAGACACATCCTTTCCACTGGTCACTGAATACTCACAAAATTTCATAACAAAAATGAAATTTGAATCTATGGTTATTAAAATGCAAAAGTACTGGGAATCTGGTCTTTTTTTTTTCTTCCTGAAACAAATTACAAAAAGTAATTTGAACAGCTAAAAATTTTTTTAGTAGATATGTAATCAAGTGCTTCAAACATTTAATGTATTAGCCTATGGAGTGTTTTGTGGTGTTTTTTTTTTTTTTTTGTGTGTGTGTGTGTGTGTTTTCTTTCTTTTTCAAAGATGGGGTAAGAAAGAATGAGTGAGGTGTGTTCTTGGGGAAAAACTTAATATCCAATCTTACATTTTCTTATGATTGTCAAGGATATAACCTAATGGATATACCTTAAGTTTTATTTTTTGCACTTGAAACTCACTATATAATATTTAAGTATCCATGATAAAGAATTCAAGCATTCTTCCTAAAACAATATTAAATTTACTATGGTTAGAATTTACAGTTCTATTACAATTTTACATTAAATACTTAAAACATTATACAAACATAGATTTGTGAACAGTATTGAGAAAGTTCTATTTCCATACATTAAGGCAGCTTTAGCCAACATTTTAAGAAGTTCTGAATATTTGTTGCAACAAATGACAAATTTTATAATTGAATATTCACTGTTTTCAATAAATTTTAAGTCATTTAAAATAAAAATATCATAATTTGTGAAACTGTATATTCTTACCACATAAGACTTACCTAAAATCAAGATACTCATTCTATCAGTATCAAATATATCTATAAAAAAGGGGGAGGGTTTACATTAAATATGAGCACGATAAACCCTGTATTTAAACAAGGACCTTCAAACAGTTTCTCACACACACCTGTGAGGTAGGTTATAACCACATTTGATAGATGAGAAAATAAAATGAGGTTATGTGACTTGTTGCTGACACAGCAGCCAAACAGACTAAGATTCCAAATTAGATTATGTTCTTTGCTCTTCAGTATTTCCTTTACAAACTTTTTAAAGGGATGAAATATAAAGATTGCTATTCATTGCACTCAAGAGAAGAAAGCCAAACTTTTATCAAGGTGACTTAAAAAGTGAAGCAACACAAAAGGAATAGAAGAATAATGACCAACTTGTGATGATGACAGGGTGAGGTCTGGCCAAAGTAACCTGAAAACAGGGCACACAGCAACATGACCATTCATGGAGGCAGATATAAGGAACAGGGAAAGGAATTAGAACAAAGGAAAATATAGTTTAAACAAGTTTTTGACTAATTTTTACTCTTCCTATAATACAAGGCACAATTAAGGTGTTTTTGTTTTTTAGATCAGTAGACCTATTTTTCATTTTATAAAATGTTATTTTGTCTAGAAAATATGGTCTTTCTTTATAATGAAACTTACTTAAAAAGGGATTAACTATGAAAAATACATGTGTAAATTAGCAGCAAAAATTAATTATGCAATTCTTGTTGGCCATTCCTATTTCTCTTTGAAATGTTAAATCAAAACAAAGTAGCAAACTTTGAATAAACAAATAAAAAAACTGTATGAACTTTGTCAAAATTCTACAAATGCTCACGAAAGTTTTCATGCTAGGATATTCTATAAATACTGTACTTTCTTTTTCTGGTTAAGAGAGCTCTGCTCTAGAATTTTTTTAATTGCACTTTAAATGTAACTGAAATTTACCTACCCTGCTTGTCCCAATAATCACAAGTTACATCCATAAAATCTAAACTGCTTTAGATATAGTTACCAAAAGTCACATATAGTGTTGCGGCAGCAAACTGGCATTGCTATGTGAGGCTGGCAGTAAACATTAACACTGGCTCACAAAATTAATACAGGCCCACAGTCTGAGAACTTCTAGACCAACCCGATTCTTATCAGGTTGTGGTTGAAAAGGTTTAACTAAAACTCAATCCAGTCTGCACTGTGGGTCCTGCTCTCTCCTTTCAATTACTGTTCAGTGCCATCAAATGCATCATATTTACACATGCAAAAAAAATAGTAAGGATGCCAGCAACCAGTTTAATAAATTTATATAAATTTTAAAGCTCATCAAACAAAAATTACATTTCAAAGTTGTTCCATAAGGTTTGGGAGACTATCAAGCTGGTAATAGGTATTCATGAATAGAAATATACTCTATGAAAAGTGTTTTCTCATCTAATATGCATACAAAATGAAAAATTATCCATCTGTAAATAAAATTTAGGTACGCCTAAATCAGATAATACTTAGGATAGGGGCTGGAGCTTACTTTTTAAAAAGACTGTACGATAAAAACCTTGCAAATTAAAGAAGTATATCCTAAAAAGTTCCTTCAGTATTTTTAAGTACCCTCAATAACTCAGACTTACTTGTAAAAATCAATATGCTCATCTAAATACTTTATATAATTACATCTAGTTAGTGCAATCAACTGGTTCAAATAATTAAACTAAGAAACAGTTAAGACTATGTATGTCACTGTAAAACTTGAAAGCAATACACCTGTGTTTATTTTTATTACTCAACTACTCTGATGTTTCAGTGACTGTTCTCTCCATCCTCCCTCCCCCTCCTTCCACCCCCAAACCCCGCCAGGAAGGAGGCATATAAAGGGCAGTGATCATTGCTGATACTTGTATGGCAGGGATCTTTATGAAGAGCTTTCTGATCCTGCTTCCTCACCTGGAAAGTGGGCACCTGGCAAGGTTACTGTGGCATGTTAACTAAGTTAATAGATATGGATCTAAAAATCACTATAAAACACTCCCATCGCCTCAAATCAGCAATGGTTTGCTTCTGCACATGACGTTTTAACATGTTTGGTTTTCTGCCATTTGTATTCCAGAGGGTAGCTGCATTTAGAAAAAATAAAATAAAAATCCAATACATAAAATCAAAATGCCTCACCAAACATATACAGAATATTCTCACTAGTATAAAAACTCTAAATATATAAAACGTGGACACTAATGCAAATCATATGAGAAGACAGAACTTTAAAGCTCAGGTTACTTTTTGTTATCTTTAGGTTACAAAAATGAATCCCAACATAGGATGTGTCTTACCAACAGATTGCACATATCTCTCATCTAGAATTTCTAACAAAGTAGAATATCTAAGAACTATTATTAAAATAAATTACATTCCTTATTTAAAAATCCATAAAGTAACAGGATAACAGTAAAGCCACAAGTAAAGAAATACCAGATTGAAAAGGTAAGGGTCTTTGAAAAAACAAAAACAGCCAAAACTGTGAACATGTCTAGCATTTAGATATTGAGATTTCACAACCATTAATAGGATTTCAATTATTAACCAGTGAACAAACAAGAGACAGTGTCTGTGGTAGACACATTCCAAACTTTTATATTTTACAAACAGAAGGTGTATTCTTATATTAACTCAGTATGCTGCACAATAATAAAGGCTACAGATAACTCCACAGTCAAAAAACCTGTAACAGTTGTCTATGATTATTTCCTCACTTATGTCTCATCAAATACTATATAAAAATCAGTTTCTATTCCCTGAGTACCAACTGGCTAGGGAATAAGAGAAAGCAGCAACATAGACAATTCCCTGACATAAAAATATGATCATTTTTTATTTAATTTAGGCTCCTGGATTCTCTTTATAACAGCTAGTATCAAGGAATGAAAATGCTAGTTTACAAAACTGTCTATTAAAAACTTGTTGACTGAGCCCTGGCTGGTAAATCAGTTGGTAGGGCAGTGGTAGGCAAACCGGCTCGAGAGCTGGCAAAAGCCAGCTTAGGAGTACCCTAATTAAGTTAATAACAATGTACCTACCTATATAGTTTAAGTTTTTAAAATTTGGCTCTCAAAAGAAATTTCAGTTGTACTGTTGATATTTGGCTCTGTTGACTAATGAGTTTGCCAACCACTGGGTTAGGCATCATCCTGATACACCAAAGTTGTGGGTTTGATCCCAGGTGAGGGCACATACAAGAATCAGCCATAAGTGGAATAAATCAATGTTTCTTTCTCTAAAAATAATTTTTAAAACATTTTTTAAACTTGTCAATTGAAAAATCCAACAGTTTGCCTCCCATCCTCTCTCCCTATAAATTCGAGATGTTGTTTATTCCTACATTAAAGGATAATAGGAATTACATCTAAATATTTAGAAAATGTTCACTTATTTTGAAAGTAAAAATCAATGATATTGGCTCATTATCCATAGAGCCATTTGCATTAGTCCCTAGTCTTAGTACTTTTTTACAAGTAACCTGGTTCAAGATTTTTCAGTTACCCATTCAGGACACACAAAAAAGAATACTTTTCTCCCAAACAATACAAAACCTGATTAAGAAAATCAAGGTGCTTTTCAATGCAGCTCAAGGTGACTATGTCCACAGGCTAAAATAAAATTATTCTGATTGTGAACAAGATTCTCTCCAACAATGCATAAGAAAAAAATGGATCTTAATTTTATTCTTAACTACCCAAATTATGACAATTGGGGACAATAATTTTCCTAAAATAGTATTTTCCAAGTTTGTTTTTACCCATGGGTTAGTAAAGTGGTCGGCAAACTCATTAGTCAACAGAGCCAAATATCAACAGTACAATGATTGAAATTTGAGAGCCAAATTTTTTTTAATCTATCTTTTACAGAGAGGAAGAGAGAGCTAGAAACATCGATATGAGAGAATCATTGTTCAGCAGCCCCTTGCACACACCCTACTGGGGATGTGCCCACAACCAAGGTACTACATGCCCTTGACCTGAATCAAACCTGGGACCTTTCAGTCTGCAGGCAGACGCTCTATCCATTGAGCCAAACCGGTTTCAGTGAGAGCCAAATTTTTTAAACTTAAACTTCTTCTAACTTCTTCAAAATAGATTCAGCCAGGCAGTGGTATTTGTGGAAGAGACACACTCAAGGGGCCAAAGAGCCGCATGTGGCTCGAGAGCCACAGTTTGATGACCACAGGGTTAGTAAGTTGAAAAAACATGGTTAAATTAATCCTGGCGAAGAGGGTAAACAAGTTTAAGGGTTGCCTTTTTCCCACAGGGCATCAAAGCCTTTAACTCTCACATCGACTGTCATCTTCAAGCGGGAGAGTAGCACATCACATTTTCCAAACTTGTTCGAGTGGAATATTTCTGCAGAGTATCTCGCAGGATACAATTTGGGAAATGTTACTCTAGAATCCGATGGAGTCCATTTCCATGACATATCTAAGCCTTTATCTATAACCTAACTATAGAAACTCTCTTCTAAAATTTTAACTGGAAATAGTTGTTCCTACTGCAGATCTGCCTACCACAAAGCACATTCACAATTAACCAGTACATAAGACTGAAATGTCGGGAATTAGTACTGATTGTGGGGATTTAGTACTTCTCTGTTCATTAGCAACAGAAAGCCTCCTTTGACAATGTCCTAGCTCTGGTTATCCTGGACTAAGCCTCCTGGAATCTTCTCTCCACAAAACAATTCTAGATTCACAGAAGAGCTGTGCTTTAAAAACTTAAGCATACTAAACCAAAACTGTGACCCTCAACAGGTAACTACCAAATTATTGATATTCATGAATACTGGCAAGAATGAGAAAATAGTAAATAAAAAATATAATCCATATAAAGTAGTTTTTATATGAATAGGTTTCTAATATATGATTTATTAAGACTAACAAAGCTAAAATACCACTGGGTTCCTTCCTACTGTTTTTCCACCTTCAAAATTATTAGGGATTTTGTCAGTGAGGATAAGGAATCAGATTAGTTCCTTATTTCTGATTAGTCTGGCACAGGTTATGGGGTGGCCTTGCTTTTCCAAAAAGAGGTATTTACACACTTGGAAAGGCCAAAATTATGCTGTATCTATAATGCACATCAGACTAACAATAGGAATACTGCTTATCCCTATAAAAATAATCACAGAAAGCACCCTTTTGTGCCACTAGGTGGCAACCTTACAAGGGCTTAAACTTAAAACTTCTTGACTGCAACCCCACCCTCTTTCCAGCAAAGGTTCCTTTTATTTTATATTAAGTCAGACTTAAAAAGTTACTTAAGATTTTTTAAAAGTTCTACAAAACAATATGATGTAGCACTGCACACTCCTGACTCAAAACTCTTTAAAGGTAGACATACTTATCTTCCATAGACATGGAAGAAATTTGGTCTAGCATTCTCATTTGCTTCTGGTAGGAAGCATTATTTTTGGCAAAGAGAAACCTGTCAAGGTTTAATCACTTTTTGTTTTCAAGAGCTTAATCTTTTCTAGGTTAAGTCAGGTGAATCACAGCATGCTGTAGAAAACAAATGAATAAATACAAATTAGGTAAATTATACATAACTTTAAAATTAATTACTTTTACTAAAACAAAATATAATTAATAAGCTATTATCTATCCTACTGTATATAGGTGTGTGTGGGTTTTTTTTTTAAATAACAACCTGGACAAAACAAACAAAAGCCTTTTTGGGTTCCTTTAAAAAGCTTTGGTGAGTGAACAACATATATATTTATACAAGAGATTTTTTTTTTTTAATGTTTACAGCTTCCCTGCCCTAAAAAGTTCAACAATGAAGGTTACAGCCTATCAAACTCCAGAATTACATAAAAGCCCTTAAGCCCAGAACAGCGTTTTCAAATAGGATTTAAAGTCTAAACCAATCAGCCACTAAGGATCATACAATAAACAAAGACAATGGTGACCAGGAAAAGTGAAGAAGTGGGTGGTTGCAATGACAAACTTCCCCTGAAGAATTAACATGTGGGATGCAACACACACACACACACCTTACCAACACACACACATACCTTACCACCACACATAATAAGAGATTAGAGTTCTCTTTTAAGGAACTGAAGATATTCTTTGTTTCATGTAACTGTCAGTTTTATCATGCTCAGTAAAGTACAAAAATAAATAGAACCAAAAAGAATTCAGAAGGGTAGGTTTTAAAGGCATGTTTTAAATGATATGTTTATGACAAAAGTTGTTGCAATTCCAGATGTTTCAATATTGAGTAGAACCTTGAAGGCTCTTAAAATAAGTATATTATTCGTGGACATTCTATTATAAAAGTGTAGTATGCAAATTGTCCTCATGACCAGGTGGTCATCTGGGAGTTCAACCAGGGGGCAGAGTGGGCTGGGAAGGAAGGGAGGCCCTGGCCAGCAACCAGCAGCTACTAGGGACCCTACCAGTGCACAAAATTCATGCACTGGGCCTGATTTTCTGGTCTTTAGATAAAACATCTAATTGGTTACAGTTATTTTTAAGAAACCAGGAAATCATGGTTACGGTTTCAGAACCACAGCCTTTCTGTCAAATACTAGGCAAAAATTCCTAGAACTTGACTTCTGAAATTTTGGGGGCACATTTTTAAGATTTCGATATTTAAATACTATTTTACAAATGGTTGTTTTATTTATCAATCATGTGCAAAATGAATGGTGCAGCCCTGGCCAGTGTGCTGAGTAGTTAGAGCATCAACCTGTGCAATATAGGGTTGGGAGCTTGATTCCAGATCAAGGACAGATACTTGGGATCCTGGTTTGTTCCTCACAGCATGTGTAAGAGGCAACCAATGGATGTGTCTCTCTCACATCTATGTTTCTCTCTCTCCCCTTCTCCCTTCCATTCTATCTATGGGATCAATGGAAAAAATATCCTCACTACTTGGATGAGGATTTAAAAAAGAAAAGAACTGGTAGCATAAACATATCTTCAAGCTTGCTGAAATTTTTAGGTAGTTAACTGGATTTACCTACACTAAAGGGTAAAGCAAGGAGATGCTGCCAAACCACCCTCTGACTGAGATGGTTCATCAGTGAAGGTGTATTAGTCATCCGTAGTGAATTCACAATTTTAATTAATGATCTTCATCAGTGTTCACCTACTAATGATACTGCCTATATGAATTTATCATAGACAAAATAGAATTACAGATTTATACAGATAAATAAAATGTCAGACTTTTGTTTTCATAATTTCAATGGCATTGAGTGTCCCCTGGCAATATTCATGTCTGCCAATCAGCATTTTAGAGTATGTGTATACATAAGTAAAATAATAATTTAAAGAATACATGTGATTTTCACAGTGCAACAACAGAAAGATAAAACTAGGGGAAAATCATCAACGAGCTAAAGTAGTGATCAGACTGGCACACATTTCAAAAAAATCCATGGTGTGGCTGCCCAGGCGAGGTGTAACTGAGGACAGTGTGCTTCCAGTCAAGGAGCCAGTGAGGGAGCCCGACAATGAATGGCTCTCAGCAGTCACAGAATCAAAACTTGATCTGGGTCTATGTAAGCCAGCAGTAGAACAGGAACGCTGAGGTGTTGAGGAACCAGACCTCTGCTCCAGCACTTCATCTGAAATGGACCAAAGCAGAGCAATTTATCAGAAAGGTATACTTGCCCCAGCCCTTCTTATGAAGATGCTATCATCAAAGAATTAAGTAAGTAAACACATCTGGGAAAAGGCGACTAAATAATAAATGTCATATTTCAGTGTTTCAGGAACAAGTGACCTCTTCCCTTACTAACAAGCATAACAGACATCACTAATTAATCACAACACTTCTATACAGTCAAAATGGGACCCCTATATCCTTGCATGTGAAGAAAGCACATCCTGAAGGGTTATTTTCTTGTGGTGTATCAACAAAAAGTCATTAAGATAAAAATAAAAGTAACCATTACACAGTGGTTCTGAACCTTTGGTACACAATTAAATTGCTTGGGGTTAGGGACAAGGAAAATCTTCTTAAAAATGAAGATCATACACCATGACTAAGTGGAATTTATTCCAGGGATGCAAAGCAGGTACAATATTTGCAAATCAATAAATGCGATACATCACATAAACAAACTGAAAGACAAAAATCACATACCGTATTTTCTGGTGTATAAGACAACTGGGTGTATAAGACGACCCCCTAATTTTACAGTTGAAACATAGGTTTAGGCCTATATTTGCTGTATAAGACTACCCCCCACTTCCGAGGCAACACCAGTTCTTTTTTTATAATAATAGACTGCCTCTCTGACTCTGGCCAATCTGAGCAGGCTTTTTACTAGAACACAGTGGTCGTCTTATACGCTGGAAAATACGGTAATCATAATCAATAGATGCAGAAAAAGCATTTGACAAAATGCAACACAATTTCTGATTTAAAAAAAAAATACTCTCAGCAAAGTGGGAATAGAGGGATCATACCTCAACATAATAAAGGCCATATATGACAAACCTACAGCCAACATCATACTTAGTGGGAAAAAACCTACAGCCAACATCATACTTAATGGGCAAAAACTCCATTTCCCCTAAGAATAGAAACAAAATAGGGATGCTCACTTTTATCACTCTTATTTAACATAATACTGGAAGTGCTAGCCACAGTTATCAGACAAGAAGAAAACACAAAAGGCATCCAAATTGGAAAGGATGACATGATATTGTACATAGAAAACCCTAAAGACTCCACCAAAAAACTACTAGATTTAATAAAGGAATTCAACAATGTAGCAGGATACAAAATTAACACCCAGAAATCAATGGCATTTTTATACACCAATAACAAATTCTCATAAAGAAAATCTAAACAAACAATCCATTTACCATACCAACAAAAATTTAAGATGCTTAGCAATAAACTTTACCAAGGAGGTAAAAAACTTATACTCGGAAAACTACAGGATGTTATAAAAAGAGATAGAGGAAGATATAAACAAGTGGAAGAATATACCATGTTCATGCATTGGCAGAATCAACATTAAAAAATGTCCATATTATCCAAAGCAATCTATAGATTCAATGTAATCCCTATTAAATTACCAATGGCATATTTCACAGATCTAAAACAAGTACTTCAAAAACTTATATGGAACCAAAAAAGACACTGAATAGACACAGCAATCTTAAGAAGAACCAAGTTGGAGGGATCCCAACACTAAATATCAAGTTATACTACAAAGCCACTGTACTCAAAACATCCTAGTATTGGTACAAGAACAGAAATATAAACCAATGGAACAAAACAGCAACCTCGGAAATCAACCCAAGACATTGAGTTCAATATTTGATAAAGGAGGCAAGAGCATACAATGGAGTCAAGAAAGTCTCTTCGATAAATGGTGTTGGGAATATTGAACAGATACATGCAAAAAAATGAAACTAGATCATCAACTTATACCATACACAAGAAAAACTCAAAATAAATAAAAGACTTAAATATAAGATATGAAACCATAAAAATCCTAGAAGAAAGCATAGGCAGCAAAATCTCAGAAATCTCTTGTAGCAATATGTTTGCAGATACATCTCCTAGGTCAAAGGAAACTAAGGAGAAAATAAACAAATGGGACTACATCAAAATAAACAGCTTCTGCACAGCAAAATAAACCATCAACAAAATGAAAAGGGAGAACATATTTGGCAGACATTTAATAAAGGGTTAATATCCAAAATATAAAAGGAACTCATAAAACTTAACAAAAGGAAGACAAACAAACCAATTAAAAAATGGGCAAAGGTAGTAGCACAATTTGCAATAGCTATTGCAATTTACAAAAATAGACTCTAAAACAGAAGTATTGAACAGACTGTCAAACTTCAAAAGGAAGGCAGGGGAGTGTGAGGGGGTGGGAAGATATGAACCAATGAACTCATATCTATATATGCATAATCCATGGACACAGACAATAGGGTGGAAAAGGCCTGGGGTGGGGTGTGGAGGCAGGGTGGGAGAGGTCAATGGGAGGAAAAAGGGGACATAGGTAATACTTTCAACAAGGGGATGAAAAAATAATACTATATTGTTTTCTCAAAGCAGTCATCAATATTGGTTTTTAAAATACTTCCTAATTTGAAAGACCAAAAATATCCAGTGTTTTATTTTCCATTATTTCATTAGTTTCGAAGATAGTCACACACACACACACACACACACACACACACACACACACACACACACTCAAAGAGCACAGAACCTAAACAGACCCTTCTCCAACGGGGACATACAGATGGCCAAGAGACATATAAAAAACACACACAAACCTCGGTGGACCAAATATTCCCATTGTCTATTAAAAAGACAATGATGTATCACCTCACACCTGTCAGAATGGCTATCATCAACAAATGACAAGTGCTGGCAAGGATGTGGAGAAGAGGGAAACCTAGTACACTGCTGGTGGGAATTCAGACTGGTACAGTCATTACGGTAAAGAGTATGGCATTCCCTCAAAAAATTAAATATGGAATTGCCATTTGACCCAGTGATCACACTTCTAGGAATATATCCTAAGAAACTGAAAACACCAATCAGAAAAAAATGTATGCACTCCTATGTTCATAACACGATTTAGAATAACTAAGGTCTGGAAATAGTCCAAGTGCCCATCAATAGATAAGTGGATACAAAAGCTGTGGTACATTTAAACTACAGAATACTATGCAGCAGTAAAAATAAGGATCTCTTACCCATTGAGACACATGGAGGGACCTTGAGAGTATTATGCTAAGTAAACTAAGCCAGTCAGAGAAAGACAGTATCACATAATCTCACTCATATGTGGAATCTAATAAACAAAATAAACTGTTGAACAAAATAGATCTAGAGACATAGAAGCATGAAACACACTGTCAAATCTCAGAAGGAAGGGGCTGGGTGGGTGGTGGGGGATTGGGAAGAGATCAACCAAAGAACTTGATGCATATATGCATAACCCTTGGACATAGGCAATAGGGTGTTGAAGGCCTGGAGTAAAGGGTGGAGGGTGGGCTATAAGAGGTCAATGGGATAAAAAAGGAGACATATGTAATATTTTCAACAATAAAGATTTTTAAAAATCTTTTTAAAAATTCAGATTCCCATCCTAGTCAGTTTGGCTCAGTGGATAGAGCGTTCATTGGCTCTCAGACTGAAAGGTCCTGGTTTAGAATCCAGTCAATCTAATGCAGGCTCAATCCCTGACCCAGTCAGGGTGTGTGCAGGAGGCAACCAATTGATGTGTCTCTCTCACATGGATGGTTCTCTCTCTGTCTTTCCCCCTCCCTTTCACTCTCTCTAAAAAATAAAATAAGGGAAAATATCCTTGGGTAAGGATTAACAACAACAAAAAACAGATTCCTAGTTTCCCATCTCCAGAGATTCTGGATTAGTAGGTCTGGGGACAGTTCCCAAGAATCTGCATTTTAATAAGAGTTCTGGGTAATTTTTATAAAGGTGGTCGAGGGACATATAAACACTGCTATAGTTGATGGTATTTCAAAAACAAAATTTGAAAGCTCTGATTAAATCAACTTCCTATATCTAAACTCTCCTGTTCCATTTGGCTCCTGACTGTTGTTTTTCTCTGTTGTTATCCTACTTTGGCCTATGAATGAAATAAGCACATTTGGTCCACCCAGGTTGACTCTCGATGCACACTGAATATCTGGAAAGGACCTCCTTCCCTGGCTCCTTTGGCTCCTGGATCGCCAGGGGCACTGAAATCTAACCTAAATCCCAGTAGAGGCCTATTTGGTCACCTTGGCCAATCAGGATGAGAGAAGCTAATGAAGGCAAGTTTAGATACTGTAATGCTAACAGTAATGAATTATGAATGAGGAAATGAGATAAAGAACCTGACAACATCAGCTATCTTTAGGTAAAAATTGCTTTCCTGATTTTTGCTCCACAACCAATACGTTGAATGACTTTTTTATGGCAAGGAAGTACTTCTATTGAAGAGGTGCTGGGTTAGAGATATTCCATGTGTCTTTGATCCTCTTCATATCACTGACATTTTTAGCTAAATCTAGATTACTTAAAAACCAGTATAAAAGACCTACCCACCATGCCTTTGAGATGATTTTAACATCTTGTCAACTAGTGCCAAGTTTTATCTTCTCAGAGCTCATGCCTGCATAGCTTCCTTACCATCAATGCTTTTAAAGTCCAAAAGATAACTTCTATTGTCAACCAGGTAAAGCTGTAAGCTCATTTTCACATAATTGCCAGTCACTGGGTTTTTTCTCCTTACACGAAGGTGGTATGCGTTCACTACCTAAAACAAGAAATCTTCGTGAAGGAAAAATGTTAAAATTAACAAACTACAAAATATCTCCCTATTCTTATTGCAAAGAATATAAAAATGAATCACTGATAGAAGTGAGATAGAGAAGAAATTACCAGATGATCCTTTTGTACATTACACTAGTAGCCCTGCGCAGGAATCCACGTGCCAGAAGCTTGTAGCCAGTATCTCGCTGCCACCCTTCGATAACTCTCTCCTCCCTTCCCGCCCCCCCATAGCCTGCTCCCCTGCCCCCTACTGTTGCTCTCCACTGCCTGCTTATAGCTTGCTGCTCCACCCTCCTGCTGATCCATGATCTGATTGTTACATGGTCAGTCATTAGGTTTCACAGAATGACCATTTGCATATTATAACTTTATTATATAGGACTAGGGGCCCAGTGCACAAAATTTGTGCACGGGAGGGGGGGTGTCCCTTAGCCCAGCCTGCATCTTCTCCAATCTGGGACCCCTCAAGGGATGTCTGATTGCCCATTTAGGCCCAATCACACCAGGCAGTCAGACATCCCTCTCACAATCCAGGACTGCTGGCTCCCAACCCCTCACCTGCCTGCCTGCCTGACTGTCCCTAAGCTGCTTCAGCCTGCCAGCCTAATCACCCCCTAACCACTTCCCTGCCAGCCTGATTGATGCTTGTTCCCCTGCTGGCCCAATTGCCCCTGACTGCCCTCCCCAACCAGCCTGGTTGCCCCCACCTGCCCTTCCCTGCATGTCTGATCCTCCCCGCTAAGTGCCCTACCTACCCTGCAGGCCTAGGTTGCCCCCAACTGCCCTCCCCTGCAGGCCTGGTCACTCTCAACTGCCCTCCCCTGCAGGCCTGATCGCCCCCAACTACTCTTCCTTGCAGGCCTGGTCCCTCCCAATTGCTCTCCCCTGCCGGCCATCTTTGACCACATGGAGGCAGCCATCTTGTGTGTTGGAGTGATGGTCAATTTGCATATCACCTCTTTATTAGATAGGATGGTAATTTAGTATTTTTAATCCTCACTAACAATACTGTTTACAGCAATTAAAAGTCAAGGAAACTCAGAGATTATAGTCTAGCTTTCATTCTATATATATGCCTCACTCAAATAATTTTGGCTGCCCAGCCTCAACTTAAATACTTTTACCTATAAATATGGAATAGAAGAAATAAAGGGAAACTAATGTGTTAAGGTTTGTATTAGGCATTGTAACAGATATTGTCATAAAATTTAAATATCACAAAAAATCCTGTGAAAAAGAAAGATATTATCTGTCTCTGAAGATAAGAAAACTGCAACTCAGATAAAGAAGATTCTGGCTTTGCAAAAACATCTATCAAATAAGTTACAAAATTTTTTTGGTAAAGAATTTAAAGATATTAACATCTTTTTTTTTTTTTTAAACTGACTAAATTATAACTGCTTCAGAAAAGAGAGGTCTGAGTTTTAAATGGGTTTAAGGAAATATTTTATCTATGCCTTTCACATACAAATAATGAAATCAAAATGACTGATATATTAAAACATGTTAAGTGAATATTTACATGGTATGTTTGAATGTTTTTCTTCCACCTTTAAAAATACATTCACAGTCCTCAAAAAAGGAACAAGAGTTAAAGGCATACCTGGAATTTAAAAAAAAAAAAAAAATGCTTTTCTTCCCAACAAATAAATAGAATTGAAATGAATTTGAGCATTTATATTTTTAAAGAGAAAATGTGGGCTGAGAGTAAAAATATATTTCATAATTAAGGATTGAAAGCACCAATCAAGTAAGAGAGGTTTTCTCAACTTAGAGAAAAGTGTTTGTTGACTGAATAAATATACCCTATGCATTGACCATTAGCTGCTACCGATACTGACAAAAAGAGAAACCCTGCCTAAAAGGGGAGAGAGAAATATAAAACATAGTATCTTTGAAGACATATGAATCATATGAATTTTTATTGCTATAATGAATGCTGAAACAAGTGGTCTATTTCTCAAGTGATTTCAAGTTGATTACTTTTTGTTTCTTTGCCAAAAATACTATATTGAAATTCAAAAATACATCAACATATTTCTTCCTTACAGAGATTTTTCTTGTTTTGAATGTACATGGTATATAATTGCAAAGGATAGCAGTTATAGCCAGAAGCATCAAGATCACTAAATTTCTATCTAAATAAAAAGCAATGCTTTAACTCAGCAGTTGACAGCAGTTTACTATACCAAAAAAAATGGCTTCTACAAATGATCTTTTTATACAATTTCCTACCTTCCATTCAAAATCCAGCTGCTTCATAGCTCGGTAAACTTCAGCCATAATGTCATATGGTTTGCTTTGACTTCGGATTCCAAGATGCCACTTGGCTTTCTTTACAGCCAAAGATTTGGGCTTAGTTGTATTCAGGGCATCCAATGGACATCTTGCTTTAGGGCTGTCTGCTATAAGAGGTGGCATCCTTTCTGGATGAGGTTTCAGGCCTGGAGGAATATGCATGGCACTATCATCCATAAAGGAACCCGTTGGGGGACTAGAGGCGAGGTAGAACTCACTGGCTTGGTTCATTATTCTCCGATTGTCAATAATAAGATGATAGGCCACTGCAAGCTGGTCTTGAGGGTCACCACTATATAGACTGTTCATTACTTCTGATTCTGTACACTCAAATTTTTCACACACTTCTTTCACAGCCTCATCATCAATGACGTTAGCATCATAGGAGGGGTCTTCAGGAAATAAGTAACTGGGCAAATCTTGTTTAAACCATTCATGCTCTCTAGGAAAAACACCACAATACACCATTATAAGAACATGTTTTGGCAAGTCCCAAATAATTTATACATGGGTAACACAATATAACAGAATCAGAAATACTTAGTCATTTACTACCTATGTGACCCTGGGTGAGTTAAATAATCTTTACCCTTGAAAAACTATGGTTTTTTCAGACTTGGTATTTGGCTGACATTTTCTCAAAAATAAACAAAATGAACCTGTCACTGTGAAGGAGACAACTGGAAGTATTTGATGTCAATGATAAAATTCAAGCTCTCAAGCAAAATTTTAGAATTTTGTGTTATTTGCATCTGTGTCCGCGAGTTTAAAAACTTCCCAATACTTAAAGACCTGTCACTTTTCTGATAACTTAGTAGTGATGATGATGATGATAATCTATATTAACAAAAGAGTAATATGCTAATTAGACTGGGAGACCTTCCAGACATTCTTCCAGACAAATTTGGGGCTTGGCCAGCCTGCAAACTGCCCCCAAATGGCCCTCAGCCCCTCACCCAGGCTGGCACCCCCCCCAGTGGGGACCCTCACCCCAATGGGGTGTGGCAAGCCTGCAAACAGCCCTCAGCTCCTCACCCAGGCTGGCCCCACTAACAGAGCCCCCCACCTCACCCCGATGGGGGTGTGGCTGGCCTGCAAACCACCCCAGCCCCTCTCCCAGGTTGGTCCCACCTTCCCAAGGGGACCCCCCCTCCCCCACATCCTAATCTGGGACCACCTTCGGGACGGGCCAGGCAACTCAAAGGGTAAATGCTAATTAAACCGGACATCCTGCTGGGCAAAGCCATGGTGGGGGGCCAAGGCAGAGGCAGTTAGGGTTGATCAGGACGACCAGGGAGAGCAGTTAGAGGGATCAGGCAGGCAGGGGAGAGCAGTTAGGGGGATCAGGCCCATGCGGAAGGGCAGTTAGGGTGATCAGGCTGGCAGGGAAGAGCAGTTAGGGGGATCAGGCTGGTAGGGGAGAGCAGTTAGGGGGATCAGGCTGGCAGGCAGGTGAGTGGTTAGGAGCCAGCAGTCCCAGATTTCGAGAGGGATGTCTGACTGCCAGTTTAGGCCAGAAACCGGCAGTTGGACATACCCCAAGGGGTCCCGTATTAGAGAGGGTGCAGTCCAGGCTAAGGGACACCCCCTTTCCGTGCACAAATTTCGTGCACTGTGCCTCTAGTTTTGAATAAAGGCAAGTTTTCAATGAGCTTGTTTGTACTTTAAAAATAAATCAACCAATAAATGCCTAAGTGGAACAACATATTGTCTTTCTCTCCTCTCTCTTTTCCTCTCCTTCTAAAAAAAAAAAAAAAAAAAAAAAAAAAGAATTACTAAATATTACAAAACTGAAACTGAATTTGGGTAAATAAGAAAATGATGAAAACTACCAATTCAAGTTGCTATATTATTTTATTTTTTATATTATTTTAAGTACAGAAATGAATGCCACTATTTTATACCACCTACATCCAAGTATATTTTTACTCACATTTTTCTCCTAAAGCCTCTGTTTTAAAATAACAGAATCAATATTTTATTCTCTAATTTTCTTTCTAAGGAAAAACCAATTAAATGAATTATATATTCTAAAGAATTATGAACCCAAAAGGTTTTTTCCCCACTAAGTTCATTTCCATAACTAAATCCTGTCTAATTTAGTTTTACATGTTTATGCATGAGGCCTGGAACACGAAGAAAGGCTAGGAAAGAAAATAGTACAGGAAAACAAAAGAATCAGTTCTTGTTTTTAGTCAGGGAAAAAACTACTTCAGCTATCATTTAAATGTTCCAAGAGTCATGGGTCTCTAAACCACATGTGTCAAACACAAGGCCCGCGGGCCAAATCCGTCCCGCCAGGCCTTGCAAAGTGGCCCGCACCGCGCTGTCATCACTGCACTCCGCTGCGTTCCCATCACAATGACAGTTTATGACTGTTCAGTAAACCATTCGGCCCGCGATTTAGGCTGGATTTTAGATTTTGGCCCCTTCTCTGATTGAGTTCGACACCCCTACTCTAAACAGTCATTCCGGCTCATGAAGAGGAGAAGGATTCTGGAAAGATGTCAAAAGAACATATTCTTAAGAAAATACCTGAAAAAATATTAGGTGAGAACAAAATACCTCTAAGGCACGTGACAGAGAGGTAAAAGTGGAGGCAATGAGTTATCCTGGCTGGTGTGCACTATATACCAGTAAAGGTCCCATTTGCAGTAACACCAGCAACCACACTTTCCAAAGTTTCTCACACAAGAAATCCTTCATAGCAAGCCACTAGCAGCTATTTTTTAAATTCAAAGTCTTAGCAAAACTTTTTTTCTTTATTTCATCAACCACATGTAAAATACATGTCTAACCCTGTTTTTCCATTAGAAATGTATTTAAATTCTTTCTTAGCATACTAAAGGCCAGGTGCACAAATTCATGCACAGGTAGGGTCTGACATTGCCATTCCCCATGGGGGGTGATCAGGCCAGGCTGGTGGGGAGGAGGAGCCATGGCTGGGGGCAGGGGCTGCCCTCCAATTGTTGGCTGGCCACAGTGTGCATCACAGTGACTGGTTATTCCAGTCATTCTGGTCATTCCAGCGTTCTGGTCAGTTGGCTTTTATATATAGAGATATATCCCAGGCATCCTAGCATATACAAAGATGAGGAAGACACTCTCTATACCATCACTTAGTTACAATTTAAGAGAGAAAAAGATACACTGAAAAAAAGTTCCATATAAAATGAGAAAGAGCCAAAACCAGTTTGGCGCAGTGGATAGAGTGTTGGCTTGCAGACTGAAAGGTTCCGGGTTCAATTCTGATCAAGGGCATGTACGTTGGTTGTGGGAACATCCCCAGTAGGGGGTGTGCAAGAGGCAGCTGATCGATGTCTCTCTCTCATTGATGTTTCTAACTCTCTATCCATCTCTCTTCCTCTATGTAAAAAATCAATAAAGTAAATTTTTTTTAAAAAAATGAGAAAAAAGAATAAAAGCATGAACAAAATAAAATGAAGAAAGCACAGAAGTGGAAGCACTGACATTGCCTGGAGAAATCAGCAGTGTTTCAAGGGAGGTGATATGTGAGCAACATTTTAAAGGATAAACAAAAATCTATCAGGTCAAAAAAGGCAGAAAAGACATCAGAGGCAGAAGGGGTCATATGAACAAAGACATGAAAGCATAAAATATATTTGCAGGACAAGTGGACTTTCAATGTGGCTAAAGCCCTGGTACAAGAAGTGTAGTAGTGAGTGCAGGAAATGAGACTTTAGAAGTGAGGAGAGCCTTACTATGAAGGCCTAGTATGCTACCTAAGCTAAAAAGCTTGGGAAACAATCTGAAATATTTAAAAGATGAGTGCCATGATCAGATTTGTGAATTAAGGGAAGTAAAATTTATATGAAGTCTTATAGAGCTCAGGATAAAGAAGGCATTCAATTATTAGTATGAGTGTTCTACAATACTAGAATATATACATAACAATAGCAAAAACAGATTCACCTTATGTCTTTGATAGTTGCTCGTTTAAGGGGATCAACCTGCAGCATATGCATCAGGAGAGTGGCGACAGAACGATTGAGGTATTCTGGGATATAAAAAACACCCCCTCGGATCTTCTTAAATAATGTAGGCACATGCTCATCATCAAATGGAAGGGTGCCACAGAGAAGAGCATATAGAATAACACCACAGCTCCAGATGTCAACCTCAGGACCTGCATACAATCTAAGAAAAGAGATGACAATACAAACCTGAAGTACAAGTGTCGCTTTCTCACCTATAGGTACCCTGCCTCTACAGCCCTACACATAGTATGGACTCAGTAAATATTGCTTTCAAGGTCTTTACTGAAGTCCATGGCCACTCTTCAACACTCACCACCCATGGAAAATAATTAATTAGTCTAACCAATTACTATTCAAGTTTCCCAAAAGAAAATAGTATTTTTTTTTTTGGCACAAACTTATTTCACTGAACTTATTAATCGACTCATTAAAAAATATAAAACTTTCTATGTTTTCTTTTTTAATAGAAACAACAAAGAAGATGACTATAAACTTGGGGAGAAAAAAACCCCACAATACTATATAATGTATAGGCTAAATCTTTTTACCATGAATCTATTACAAGAAAGAAAATGTGTACGTAACAGAATCTCATTCCTGGCACACCTATTTTAAAGAATATTGTACGTGAGACAGTAAAGTGCCTAACTAGTTCTGTGGCAATGTCTCTGACAGTATTTGTCCTGCATCACATTATCTTGAGTACCCAATGTCTTTCTTTCTAACCACTTGCCAGCTTATGAGACTAAGATTAGCTTTGCTCCAGAAAAACTATACCTAGGTTTTTTCTCTCACCTGTATACAGTATTAAAATTCCCCTGCTAGCACATTACCAAACTCAAACCTGGGTCTGAGGTAACAAAGTAAATCTCTACAATTCCAATTTAAAAAGGAATATAATCTGCCCTACCTGGTTTGGTTCAGTGGGTAGAATGTCAGCCTGCAGACCAAAGGGTACCGGGTTTGATTCTGGTCAAGGGCACATACCTTGATTGGCTCCTCCCTGGCCCAGGCCATGGTCAAGGCAGGTGCAGGAGGCAACCAATCAATGTGTTTCTCTCACATCGATACTTCTCTTTTTCCTTTCTATTCCACTCTCTCTAAAAAATCAATGGAAAAATATCCTTGGGTGAGGATAATTGGTTTCAATAAAAAATTGCTATCTATTATTATCACTGTTGGCTGTACTGTCCAAAATCCTATACCTACTATCTTTGTAATATACCTTTTCTAGTTTTTCTCTCATAGAATTCTGTTAACTCTTACAATCAGATGGTCTCTGTAGGACTTAAGTTTACAACTGCAATCTATATAAACATTTTAAAATGTACCAATGAGCCAAGACTGGTTAGAGCGTCAGCCTGCGGACTGAAAGGTCCCAGGTTCGATTCCGGTCAAGGGCATGTACTTTGGTTGCGGGCACATCCCCAGTAGGGGGTGTGCAAGAGGCAGCTGGTCGATGTTTCTCTCTCATCGATGTTTCTAACTCTCTATCCCTCTCAATTCCTCTCTGTGTAAAATCAATAAAATATATATTTAAATAAATAAATAAATAAATAAATAAAATGTACCAATGAGAAAATTATGTAATTACAAAATCTCCACTTGTGCACTTGAATTCATAAAATGACATACTGCCCACCCAAAAGCTCATTCTTCCAAAAATAAAATATAAAAATACTCTATATACTTTTAAAAAAGGATATGTAAAATATCATTAAAGGATCATGTCTGATAAGTAAATAATACACTAGCTTAAATTTAGCAAATGCTTACTCTATTTGCACTTTTCTAAAATGAAAAAAAGAAATCAACATTTATTTCAGTCATTTTTAATGGAAAACCTCTTTAAAGATATTTATATCAAAATTTAATGTTTAAAATATTGCTTAGTATAACTGTTCTATCTTCAACAATGAAAAAATTAAAGGGACAATTTGTTTCTACTGTGTTAAAAATCTAATCTTGTGAAGAGACTGTACTATAATTAAACGTTATCAGAATAAACAAAAGATTATAAAAAGCTTATTCTTCGCTGATATATCATTACCTGCCTGAGATTACTTCAGGTGCTGCATAATTTGGAGATCCACAACTAGTTCGCAGAAATTCACCATCTGACATCATATTAGATAATCCTGAAAGTAAGAGTAATGTTTACCTGGTGCTAGATATTTCTAAAAGTAGAGATAGGTGCATGAGGAAAATGTCAAGTCTTTAATGCCCATACATTTTTTTTTAATTATTATAAAAAGGAATGGAAAGCATTTGTTATGGAGACCATTTCAGAGTGCTGTTACACTATTACAAAAAAGCTAAAACATCACACATATGATTGGAATAAAATTCCTTTTGTAAATAAAAATATTGATTCACTTTATAAATATAAGGTTATTCTAAAACTATATGGACTTTTCCAAACATAAAATTACCATCATATTATTTACCCACTTCTACAGTTGAAAGAATAAAATAGAGACTAAGCTTTCAAAAGCCTTTTTTTTTTTTTAATCTCTAGGTAGAAATCAGACCATCTCAGTTGAATAAAGATTAATGTTCCAAAAGTTTTTAATCTGGAAAAAATTCAATTAAAAGTAGAAAAAAAAATAATCAATTGAACCAAATATCTAGTTTAACTATAGTACTAAATGAATTTTGTGATTTAGAGAAGGAAGGGAAATAAGGAGACTAGTTTCCTGGGTTTTAGATTAAAGACAAGCTACTGACAACATTTTTAAAACAAGCAGTGCTGACCTCTGGCACCCTTCCATCTCTCTTTCTATAATCTCTTACTTCCTAACCCTTTTCCCAAAAACATCCTGCACTTTAGCTTTTCCTTGCTCCTGACAAAAACTCCTCTTATTTTGTCAAGTGGTAGATGTTATGGAGACCCACTGGCACTGCCCTCCTTGATTCATAGAACTATAAAGCTCCGGAACTGCATGCAAACTTCCATGTGCCTCCAGGTAAGTGTATTCATCAAAGTGTCCCTATTTTCAAAGGAGCTTGTGACCCCCCCCCGCCCCCCCGCAGCCACACACACACATAAAACACTTCAGGTTCCTTAGGATGAAATGCAGATTGAATATTTTACCTTGATCCTACCCTTCTAACGTCTCTAAAAGTATCTGCTGCACAGAAATCAGGAGGGTGAGTACATGAGTGGAGTGGTGAGGGGCAATGGGGGAATAAGGACACATATGTAATACATTAATCAATAAAGTAAAAAAAAGTTTTTAATAAAATAAATAAATTTTTAAAAAGTATCTGCTGCATTTTAAAAATTTTATTTATTTTTACATATTGAATTTATTGGGGGTGACACTGGTTAATAAAATTATATAGGTTTCAGGTATACAATTTGATAAATCATCTGTATATTGTATGGTGTGTTCACCACCCCAAGTCTTTCTTTCACCATTTCTCCCCTCTTTACCCTCTTCTACTTCCCCCCACTCCTCTTTCTTTCTGGTAATCACCATATTGTTGTCTGTGTCTATGAGGTTGTGTTTTTTTCTGCATTTTTTTTAAAAGCATGTTTAAATAAACAGACCAAGCTACTGTGGAGGCTGTACAACTAATCCCTTTTCATAGCACAGGGCTTTACAATGTTGAAATTGAAAGTTCCTAGGTCTTTAAGAATTGTTACTGACATTTCTGAACAACCCTGGAGTCACATACCAAAATCAGCTATCTTGGCATTCATGTGTGCATCCAACAGCACATTCTCTGGTTTCAGGTCTCGGTGCACAACCATATGCCTATGACAGTAATCCACCGCAGACAGGATCTGCTGAAAGAGCCGCCTGGCTTCCATTTCTTCAACCTATCAATGTTAAAGAAATATCTGGGACATCTACACAGCAAGAGTTTCAGTTTCATACTCAGCCTAAATATAACATTAGGTTCTGTTGGAATATTCAACATATCAGACAAAGAAACCAAAAACTTGCATTAACTCTCAACATGTCAATCAACAGGTTTTTCTTTGATACTATGGAGTAATATTTCATTTTCAAGCTATGCAGTAATATTTCATTTTCAAGTAATATTACTCAATCTGCACAAGTTATGGGGAATCAGCAAGTAAAACAATCTAAACTGAACTTATGTGAAAGTGCTAAGGCAGAAAATAACTGACGCTTCAACATGATGTATGGAAGAGATTTTTCATTTTGAAAAGCATAGGCATCATGTTGGCAATTAAATGGTACTTATTTCCTAAAATCCATATTTCAAAAGGTGTACTTTTTAAGAAAGAATATATGTCTAATAGTCTCTATGCTTAGTTGAGCATTATTACAAAAGTAACCCAACTTTAAAAAATATCTTTGTGGTTTGCTATTTCCCACTATTGCCCTCTTTTTTAACTTAGGAATTTATTGCACTGCATAGTGTTACTCACCCGTCCATGTTTACAGATGTAGTCAAATAATTCACCACCGGACACATATTCCATTACCATAAAAAAATCTGTTGGAGTGCTGATTACCTGGTATCTTTTTGTAAATTAAAAAAAAAAAAAGTTAATAAAAAATATTACTTTAACCAAAAATCAACCTGTACATCTATTCTTGCTACAATTTTATATTCCAATGTTTTATAATATTTTAAGATGGCAACAGATTTACAATGTTATCAAAATAATCAAAGAACTATAAACATAGAGCTTAACAAAATTCAACTAAATTTCAAGGCCTATGGACTTTCTTCCAGGTCCTCCCTTTCATGTTTACAAAATATTTAAAATCCTTTAATCTGCAACAACTGAGTTAAGCATGAATTTTTCCACTTAAACAAAAATATATTTATAGTCTATAGAAATCAGGTATCATAAGCAAAAAGTATTCTTGGAAAGGTTAAATGACACCACAGGGATAAAATCAACAAAATCCAGAAAATGGACAGATGACCCTTTATTCAACATTAAAAGAGAAAGAGAAAGCTATAGATTAAAAATAACTCAAGAGACATATTGACTAATTACCCTGTATACACTTCTTTTGATTCTGATTCAAACAAACCAACTTTAAAAGTCATTTATGAAACAATCAATAAAGTCTGAACACTAGCTGAATAGCTGTTGATATTAGCTTTTTAGGTATTATAATAAATCGTGTTTAAGTTATAAAAGTAAAAAAGGCTTTATGTCCCAGAGTAAATAAATACTAAAGAAATTGAAGGTTAAAAACATAATATTTGGGATTTGCTCAAAATAATTTAGGATGGGAGAAGTGGGAAGAAGCAGATAAAACACTACACTAACAACTGCTGAAGCTGAATAAGAGATACATGAGGCTTCAACACTTTACTTTGTATACTTTAAAATTTTTCCGTAATAAATTTTAAATAGATGTATGCATTTGTGCATGAAACTTTATTATTTATTTATTGGCACTCAATGCTGAGCACATTTTAAAAAATAATAAAAAACCTTAGATCTATTTGACAAAATAAATTTTTTTCCTGAAAACTACAACTCTCACCACCCACTACCCACACAATTTTACAAAAGTGAAAGCAAGTAAAATATAACATTGACGTTTTAACTGATGGTACATTTAACACATTTAATATAAAGAAACAATTGTTCTACTTTTTAAAGAGGTTTGCTTTGTTTGTGAAGGATTATCTATAATCTGGTTAATCATGAGCAACATCTAATTTACAATGAGTTACTACTTAAGGCTACTAAGTATAATGGTATAGTTTTTGCAAGGCTTAAAGGCCCCCAATGGAAAGCATAAGCAGGAGCTGAAAAGAGGCTCAGATGCCACCCTTTAAGCAGGACACCTTGACACAGGATGTGGCGGAAGCAGGGAAACCTTATATCAATAGTAATTAGTCCACACAAATGGAGCACCTTTTATTAAAGTGGTTCTGGTTACTATTCCCTGTTAAAGAGGGAGGGGAAATGGCCAGGAAGTTGATGATCTAACTACATACTATACATTTTAAGAAAGGACACATCATATATATACACTTGGAAAAAGTAAAATATTAAAGCTATAGTATTAAAAATGACAGGTTTTTACAATAAATATTTCATCTTTGGGATAAAAAATTACAAAGTATCTCACTTTATATAAAATAAACTAGTATGACTGAGGAATGATGTTGAGACTATTTCAAATGAGCTATGGAAAGGAAATTTCACCAAGAATTCGAGAAGCCATCCTATAGCAGTAAAAGCCAAGTCATGAAAGTCATCCTAGCAAGCACCAAACTCTAGTTGAATAAAACAAATAATATAGAGCAGAAGCATCTATTATATAACTTTGCTGTAGGTCAGTGTTTCCCAAAGTGTGGTAAGCATACCCCTAGGGGTACAGGAAGAGTTTGGTGGGGATATGCACTGCACAGTGCTTATCTGTGCCTAATTCTATGTTCTCATGAGTACGAGGGGTACTCAGCGTTACGAAAATTATAGAAGGGGTACACATATGTCAAAAGTTTGGGAAACACTGTGGCTAATCTGATTTATTAACATAATTCTCAATCACTGTTCTGTTCTGTAAATATTTGGGGCATAAAAGAAAAGAAGGCATATCATTCTAATACATTTAACTGCTAATTCCTCCAACTATATCACAAGATCTTTAATAGATACTTTTGGATTTAACTATTTCATGAAACCTCTAACTCTACAGCAGTCACTTTCCACACCAAAGGCCAATCTAGAGCAACAGAAACCACAGCTATCATTATTGAGCACTTCCTGTGTGCCAGACTAATGGCCACACTTAAAGTTTACTGAGTACCTACCATAAGTTGAATAAAATAAAGACTAAAAGAAGCAGACAGGCAAAAGCATCTATACTAAATTAAAAAGTACTGATCTTTCAATCAGTTAAAGTTTCTCTAACAACTATGGAGGAAAGAAAAACACGGACAAAAATTAATCCAACAAATTCTAGTTCATGGAAAAGTTTGAAGTTTCCTTTCAATCTTGTTTACTCCTCTGAATTTTCTCCAAGTGATTATTCCCCTTACCCCCAATTGAGTTAATGGAGAAACTTTATTCTTGGCATTTAGTTTTCAAACTTTCTTCCTAATTCTAGAGGCCCCTTCGGTAACAAGGAAACTATTCTTGGCAGCTAGTCGAAAACTACACAAAACAAAACAAAAACTACAAAAAGGATCAGGTCTCTCTCCTTGTTTACATCACTAACATTATTAGAGGTTAACTCAATAACATGTTCTGTAGCAAGAATATATGAGAGTGCTTTTTTTCTCTTTTAATTCATATCCATAATTAAGAGGCAATATAGCTGAATGGATTAATAAGCTCAAGGCAAGAAGCCAGAAGCTTTAAATTTCAAATTCAACTCTGCCAATTCTGAGAACAATCTATAACACCTGCAACAAAACAAAATACCAAACAATTAAATAACTCTAAATAGAATAAGATAGTCAAACCAATATTAAATACTTATAAATAATTACAGAAACTGAGGTAAGAAAACACTGGAAGATATGCCAGCAAAAATAAATCCTCGTGACCACTGCAACTGCTTACTGACAAAATCTGAAACTAGCACTCATACCCTAAAAAGGCAAAATTTCCTGGGGGTCTTTCAGGGCTGTTGGCTTCTAAGTCACACGGTCAAGAAATAAGACAAATACAGAGATTGCTCTCCTTTCTCCACTCTCACTTTGGCAAGTGATACTTTTAGTTTGGCTTCCTAGCTCTTTCCTCTAATAGAAAGTAGCTACTCAGCAAGGAAGAACGAAGAGATATCAGTAACTAAAATAAAGTCATTATTAACATAGAGTCAAAAGTACAAATGAACTACTTCAGTTAGCTGAAAACCACCCAGAATCATGAAAGAGAACTGGAATCAGCTCATAGGTTGCCAACTCCTGCTTTGGGCCAGTGCACATTAAACACTAAGCATTATACCATTTAATCCTCAAATAACACCATGAGGTATCCCATTTTAAAGTTAAGAAAACTAACAGTGGGAGAGCTAAGTCACTGGGCTCACAGGTTGTATTTTAATTCTTAGGATAATCTTTAAAATCCTGTATATACATATTCTGGATCACCTAGAATATAGGTCCTGGAGGATAACCTTATAATCAAGTACTGCATGTAATTTCAGGGGCCTCATTTCTTGTTTATATTTATGATCGAGTGAGTGCCAAGTGAAAATCAAATAACACTGAAGCTTACTGTTGAACTGAAGTTTCCACGGTAGTGGTTGGGAACTGTCAGCAGCATGCTCATACTGTTGGTGAGATGCACTGAATGAGCCCCCATCACTGAATATAGCTCGTTATAGTAAAGACTAAATGCATGTAGTGTCAGAGAGATTTTAAGATGGGTCTAGTTAATTTTTCAATTATTTATCTTTCAATGTAATGAATTAGCTTATTTATTAATCTGTAATATATGATTATTTTTTAAGTTTGTAATGTGTCTTATGTCCCCCCCCAAAAAAATTCACGTGCTTCCCCAAAGAGCTTTATTATCAATAATTAAAATAGTATTGTTGTTTTGCAAATAATATATGGGTGGATAACCTTTAACAGTTACTTCCTACCTTTTCCAAAAAGAAAATACCCAGATACATTCATAAAAATTGACTAGTAAAAATTACACAATGAATCTAGAAATACCAAAGTACTAAAAGAATTTCAAAAAGAATACTAGAAATGAGTCAATTTACAAGGCTACACTCAATTCTTGAAAACAGTACCAATTTTGAAACAATAATTTTTAATTCTAAACCAAAGTATGCAAAAAAACAAAAAAATAATAGAGCTTAAATAAATTAATACTTGCTCAATATAAATATGAAGTGTTTTTATAAAAGATTAAAGACAACTATTTATAAATTCATAAATAGTATCTCAAGACAGTTTCTCTTTTGTTTAATTGGGTACAAAAATACTTAGTTTAAAAAGTACTTACAGTTTGATAATATGAGGATGACGAAAAAGTTTTAGATTTTGAATTTCCCGCTTTATTTTTCCAACAACATCTAAACTGCGAATCTTCTGTCTATTTAGGATTTTAACTGCCACTTTATGACCTGTCAACTGATGTTCTCCAACTAAAAATAAAGAAAAAAACCTGCTGATCATACAGTCATATATTATACCATTTTATATCATGTACTGCAAAGAACAGATGTTTTCCTTTATCACTTTCATCTCTACTAGACATGTCAATTTCAGGGACTTTCTACTCTATTCAACTAAGATAACCAAAACTAGAGGCCCGGTGCATGGATTTGTGCACCAGCAGGGTCCCTGGGCCTGGCCTGTGGGGATAGGGCCAAAACTGGCTCTCCAACATCCCCCGAGGGGTCCTGGATTAGAAGAGGGCAGTTCCTGAGTGAAGCACACCAGAATCAGGCTCCATCCTCTCTGGTTCCAGGTGCATCATCCAAGAACTGCAGTTGCCAAATCACTGCAGCTCAGCAGCTCCTATGTTGAGCATCTTCCCCCTGGTGGTCAGTGCATGTCATAGCTACTGATAGAAGCATCTGCCCCCTGGTGTTCACTGCACGTCATAGCTACTGGTCAGACGGTCAGGTGGTCACTTAGGCTTTTATATTTATAGATGGTTTGAGGTTGCCTGGGTTGTTTATTCTTAACCTTTGGAAACTTTATAATATGCAAATATTTGCCTAGGTGGCTTAACAAATATCTGTCTCCTCAAATCTTGATAGCATCAGTAAAAGTAACCAGTGCTTCAATCTCCTCATCTGTACAACAGGGAAGAAGAGTTTAATTATTCCATTCCTATTTGATAATTAAAATTACTGTTTACTTGAGAGTATATGTGGTCTTTCCAGATCAAAGAAGTAAGACCAAGGACTCTTAACAACCAAATGTATGGGTGTCTTGTTTTTTAAGGCCAGATGCTTAAAATGAAAAACGAGGAAACCAAAAAGTGAATGACTGCACTCAAAAAATAATAAAATACTAAAGACTTAGTACTTTGTCAACAAATTTGATAAAGTTGCAGGACACAAAGTCAATTTACAGTTGCATTTCTAGATGTTAATAATAAACTATCAGAAGGAGAAATTAAGAAAAAAATCCCATTCACAACTGCATCAAAAATAAAATACTTAAGAATAAATTTAATCAAGGAGAAGAAAGAGCTATACATTGAAAGCTATAAAACATTGGTAAAAAATGAAAACAACAAATAAATGGAAAGATTAATATTGTGAAAATACCCAATGGAACCTGCAGATTTAATGCAATCCTTATCAGTGGCATTTTTCACAAAAATAGAAGGGAAAAAAGCCTAAAATTTGTATGGAACCATAAAAGACCCTGAATAGTCAAAGCAATCTTGAGAAAGAAGAACAAGATTGGAAGAATTTTACTTCCTGATTTCAAACAATATTATAAATATAGTAATCAAAACAGTTTGGTACTGCATAAAAATAGCCACATAAATCAATGAAATAGAAACCCCAGAAGTAAACCCATGCATATATAGTATTTAATTTATGACAAAGGAGTAAAAACAATACCGTAGGGAAAGGACAGTCTTTTCAACACATTATGCTGTGAAAACTGGACAGCTACACACAAAAGAATTAAAGTAGACCCTCATCAAACACATTACACAAAAACCAACTCAAAATAGATTAAAATCTTAAATTTAAGACCCAAAACTATAAAAGGACTAGAAGAAAATAGAGGGGATAAACTTCTTGACATTAGTCTTAGCAATGTTTTGTGTGGTGTTTTTTTTAATTTGATAACAAAAGCAAAGGCAACAAAAGCAAAAATAAACAAGTGGGAATAAATTACAGAACCACACAGCAAATGAACCACACAATAAAAAGACAACCCACCTAATGAATGTGAGAAAGTGTCAGCAAATCACATATCTGATAAGGGGCTACAAATTCACACAGATCAATAGCAAAACATACAAATTCCATTAAAAAATGAGCAAAGAAACTGAATAAACATTTTTCCTTAGAAGACATACAAATGGTCAACATATACATGAAAAGGTGCTCAACATCACTAACCATTATGGAAATGCAACTAAAAACCACAGTGATATTACCTCAGATCTGTTCAAATAGCTATCATCAGAAAGACATTTCAAAGATGTGGCAAAAAGGGAAGCCTCATACACTATTGGTGGGGGTGTAAACTGGTAGAGCCAGTGTGAAAAAAATAGAATGGAAGTTCCTAAAAAATTAAAAACAGATGTAACTAACATATGATCCAACAATCCTACTCCTGGGTGCCTATTGAAAAGAAATGAAAACAGGATATATATAAAAAAAAAAATGTGCACTCCCATATTCATTGTAGCATTATTCACAATGTCCAAAATATGGGTACTATCCAAGTGTCCTGTCCATCAGGAACAAATGAATAAAAATGATGAGGTATGTACATATACAATGGATAATTATTTAGTCATAAGAAAGAAGGAAATCCTGTTTGCAACAATATAGATGGACCTTGAGGGCATAATACCTAGTGAGATAAGCCAGAAAACAGACAAATATCACATGTTATCACTTATATGTGGAATCTAAAAAAAAAAAGTTGAACTTAAAGAGTCAAAAAGTAGTTGCCAAGGGATCTGGGATGGGGAAATATGGAAAATTTGGTAAAAACACAAAAACTGTCAGCTATAAGATAAATAAAATCTGTAGATCTAATGTAAAACATGGTGAATACAATTGATAAAACTGTATTATATAATTAAAATTTGCTAAGAGAGAACTAAAATGCTCTCACAAAAATATGTATATAAATATGTGAGGTGATGGGTGTGTTAATTAACTAGTTGGAAGGATCCTTTCACGATGTATGCATATATCAACTAATCATAATGTACATTTTAAATATCTTATTATTTTATCAATTATACCTAAAAAAAAAAACCAAAAAAAACCTAAAATTAAAAAAAATATTAAGGTATTACTTTGTCTATGGCCCTTGAGGAAATAAGTGATTCACTTACCTTTATACCTAAAGAAATTTTCCCCCATGACACCATGTAAAAGAAACAGTTAAGTACACTGATAAGCTAACTGGATATCTATTTTTTATTTTTTATTTTTTTAATTGATTTTGTACAGAGAGGAAGGGAGAGAGATAGAATTAGAAACATCGATGAGAGAGAGTCATCGATCAGCTGCCTCTTGCACACTCCCTACTGGGGATATGCCCGCAACCAAGGTACATGCCCTTGACCGGAATCGTCCCCAAGCCGACGCTCTATCCATTGAGCCAAACCGGTTTCAGCTAACTGGATATCTAATGTCAAATATCAAGTGGATTAAGACTATTACCTCATTTTGCTGAACTATACTAGCCTCTATTGCTTTATAACTTATGTGACTTAGTACATAGCTATAATTAAATCCATATAGTTGTCTCATCTCATAATCACATTCCACCTGACACCCAACGAATATTCCTAAAAATCTTGTAATATAGAAGTAATAAAACTAAGACTTTCTTCTATGTGTATTACAGCCATTAACTTTTCTAGGATATTAAATTAAATAAAAAGCTTGCATTTATCAAAGATTTACTCACATTTATTTATTCAATCTAAAAACATTTTACTGAGCACCTGGACTGTGTTGATCAAAGACATGAAAAGAGAGGTTTACTGTGTGTGTGTGTGTGTGTGTGTGTGTGTGTGTGTGTGTTTGGTGAGGGGAACATAAGCAATACAGAAGCTAAAATAAGTTTTGTATGGTGTTATATCTGTCTGAAGACTGTCAGGGATACCTTATTTGTGAAGGGAGCACACAGATAAGAACAAACATTAAAAAACACCAAAATGCAACTTTGCAAAGTTGCTGTTGTACAGAGTGTGGAATGCAAATGTAAATGTGCAGTAAACCAGATTCAGGGCCAACAGTGCCCAGCAAAAACATAACCCACTGCCAAAGGTGGAATCTTGGCCCCTCGAGGAATTGGACTCACTCCTTTCTGATTCCTAGCACTCTGGGACCCTTCAGGGGATGTTGGGGAGCCTGTTTTGGCTTCATCCCCAGGCCAAGGATTGGCACCACTCCAAGTGGAACCAGCCAGGGAGGGACTGCGGGAAGTTGGCTCCAGGGCATGTCTGGCCCTACAGTCCGGCACCGCTGACCACCTTCTAATTAATTTCCTTTCAATGTACACAAATCTGTGCACTGGGTCACTAGTAATAAAATAAAGAAAATAAACAATTAAAAATAAAGTATTGATTACTTTAGGACTGAATTATAATAGGTTTATCTTCTAAGCTCAAAGAGTTAACAAAATGTCCTTCTGCTATCAAAGTTACAGACATACTGTATAATAATATGAACTGTGTCAGGAAAGAGAAAGCTTCAGTCCATATGTACACACACACAAATCTGTTCACTTTCATATGCTCCACAAGACTAGTCATTACATGTGGTATTTCTTATGCCTATACAAAAGACCTTGACCTAGGTACAAAATTTGTTTGTAAGCAAATTTGTTGGCAGTTGAAAAGTTATCTCATTGGGATATGGCATTCATAGTGCTATGCTATCAGGAAATTATTAGCATATGTAAGTAAAATCAAGTCTATCACCTTATTAACAAACATAGCTGGAAGAAGTGTCTTAAAAACTTCAGGGTATATTTGGGATAGTATGACTTAAAATTTAGGTTACAAAAATGTACACTAAATCCCTCAGGAGGCTCTCCAACTGAAAACATAGGAGAGACCACAGAGATGGGCATCATCCTTCAATAGTTAAAGATTTATTCTGTAATCCAGATCTTTCTCAGAGCATGCACACACTTCAGTAACAAGCTCCAGGGTCTTGTTATTTGTAGTAGGGGTTATTTAAGGATAGTTAACAATTCTTTCCTACAAATCTAGGAAGAACAATTAGCAGGTGTATGTCTATGTGTACGCAAACATGCTAAATATTTTGTATACATTTTCATTTTAACCCTAAAACAACTCTGAGAGGAAATTTTATAGATGAAGAAACTGAGGCTTACAGAAATTAAAAATGACTAGTGAAGGATAAAATCAGTATTTAAATCCAAGGCTGTCTGATCTAAAGCTTAGTTTCTTGAT